CCAGACGATGGTGACTGGTGCTCTCTTTTATCTCTTCTCCACCTACTTTTGAGAGGCAGGTTCTGTCTGTCTGTCTGTCTCTGTCTCTTTCAACCTGGAGATTGCATTTTCTCAGCTCCTTGTTTTCACTGAGACAGAATCTTATGTTGCTCTAAATGTCTTTAAACTCACTTTGTAGCCAGACTGGCCTTGAACAAATAGCAGTGTTGCCAGCCCAGTCCCCTAGTGCTGGGATTACAGATGTAAACCATCCGGTCTGGCTCTAACGATACATTTTTGTTTTGTTTTGTTTGAGCCCGAGTTCCATGTCACCCAGGCTGGTTTCAAATTCACTATGTAGCTGAGGCTGGCCTTCAATTCCTGATTCTCCAGCCTTTGCCTCCCAAATGCTGAGAGTACAGGTGTGTGTCACCACATGAGGCTCTCTCTCTTTTGGCTTTTTTGAGACAAGGCCTCTTGTAGCCCAGGCTCACCTTGACCTTGCTACGCAGTGAAGGCTGGCCTTAAATCCTGATCCTCTGCCTCTTAAATACTGGGATTACACCATGTGACATGATACCCGGGTCATCATTCTGTGTGTTAACTTGGTAGTTTTTGTCCTCAGGAAGCAGGAGGAAGGAGCAGAAAGTCTGGAGTAGATTGTTTGGAAGACGGGGCTGCAGTGCCAACTTCAGAAACACCCAGATCTCCGTCCCGATCATCCTGAGTTTTGTCCCTCATGACCTCACAGTTGCTTTTTGTGAGATAGTTGCAAGTCAAACATACCAGGAAAAGGAAGTTTAACTTGCTAATCTTTAATCAAGTTGAACTGTTAAGCAAACCATTTGCTGCCACAGATGGTACCGATCTTCAAACCTGAATAGGATAAAAATCACCAGGTGACTCCTGAGCTCCAGCCCAGACATGCTGACTTCAGTTGGGCTCCTGGACGTAGGAATTTTAACAAGAGTCTCTTTTCAGTAGTCCTCATGGTAACCCCTGTAATCTCAGCAATTAGCAGGTAGAAGCAGAAGGATCAGGAGTTCAAAGTCAACTTCAGCTGCTCCTTTTGTGGTTTTCTGAGACAGGGTATCTCTGTGTAGCTCTGGCTGTCCTGGAACTCATGAAGATCTGTCTGCTTCTGCCTCATGAGTACTGCCTTAACTTCATAAAAAGAAAACAAAAACAAAACAAAAACTAAACTAACCAGATGGGTAATAGTGGCCCACACCTTTAATCCCAGTACTCAGGAGGCACAAGCACGTGGATCTTTATGAGTTTGAGGCCAGCCTGGTCTACATAGTGAGTTCCAGGACTGCCAGGGCTACACAGAGAAACCCTGACTCACAAACAAAAACAAGCAAGAATTCCCAGAAGCTGGGCGTGGTAATTCATGCCTGTAATCCCAGCAAAGAGATGGACACAGGTTTTTTTTTTCCTGAAATTCAACTTATGTTTGACTTTTTCAATGTATATCTCTTTGAACAAAGTACTTACACCACTGACTTTTATTTCCCTGTCTGAAAATGGTAATGGTAATAATATTGGTGTGATTTGGTTGTGAGGAGGGAGTGAGTCAGCCGGATGTGGGTGAACACCCCCTGGCACCAGGTTCCTTATATCCACCCTCCCATACCCTCCTTCCTCTTGTCCCATCTCACCGTCTGGAGATGGAGTGGGGCTGCAGGATGTGGGGCAGATTGGAGTAGACTTGGCGAAAAGAATGAAGGACAATATCACACTAAATCAGAAGTTCCTTGGGGTTTTGTTTTTGCCTTTTTAAATTTTGGTTTTCTTCTCTTTTGTTTGTTACAAAAGAAAAGCCAGTGACTTTTAAATGATTAATTATTATTATTTAAAAATTATGTATGCATTTTTGTTAAGATTTACTTTTATTATCCCAGCACTTGGGAGGCAGATCCGCCTGGCTCTGCCTCCCGAGTGCTGGGAATTAAAGACGTGCACCACCACCGCCCGGCGTACTTTTATTATTTTGTATGTGTGTATTAGTATGTGCACATGTGTGCAGGTGCCTGCAGAATCTAGAAAAGAATATTCAGTTCCCTGGAAATAAGAGTTCCAGGCAGTTGTGAGCTGGCTGATGTAGGTGCTGGGAATTGAACCTAGGTCCTCTGCAAGAACAGCAAGCACCCTTAACCACTGTGCCACCTCTCCAGCCCCCTTACCTATGTTTTCCATGGTTATCAGGAAGGGGGGGAAATAAAGGAGTCTTCAAGGAACAGGCAAGGTCTTACAGCTGCACAACACTTCTAAAAGCCTTCACTGCCTCCAACCCTGTGGACAATCAGCTGGGCTGGGGTCAGGGCTTCTAGAAGGAGCCTCAGGAAACTCCATCCCTTGCCTGTCCCCTCTTCCAAAGTCCTACAGCCGGCAGTGGAATACAAGTTGTCTTGCCCTGTCACCTTCTTTTTAAATATATACATATATGTATTACATTTAGCCTTTTAAATATAATATTAAATCTATATTACGTTTATTATTAGTGTGGTTGGATGAGTGGGTGGAGTCAGTGTTTTCCTTTCACCATTTCAGGTTAAACGCAGGCAGTTAGGCTTGGTGGCATGGCCTGCCACCACTGCCATCTCAGTGGCTGGTACCTTTGGTGGTGGGAATGAAACCTGGACTCTCTGGAGCTAAGCACGTGATGGCCAGAGGTTGATGTCCAAGGTCTTCCTCTCTGACTGCTCTGCCTCGCTTGGCTAAGACAGGCTTTCTCACTGAACCTGAGGTTTGCCTTTGGGGCTAAACTGGCTCGCCTGCCATCGCTCAGGATCTGCTTGTCCCTGTGCCCCAGGGTTGGGACGACAGACGCAAGCACCCATCCTTCGCTTTTTAAGTGAGTGCCGGGGATTCAAACTCAGATCCTCAGGCTTGCACAGAACAGCCATCTTCCCAGCCTCCTAGCTCATGTTTTCACAGAGGGTCAGCAAGTGAGAAAAATGAACTCTAAGATAGGCCAAGTGAAGAAACAATCCCTGCATACAATGGTACTTTGGCCCGCGTCGAATCCCAAAGCCATCTCCTCATATCTCCTGCCTTGTACGATAACAGTTATGTTCTGAATGCCCATACGAATGTCACTGCTATTGAGCAATGCATCGTGCTTATATATTGTTACTTCATTACATAAATCAAGGAGAGAGGTGGCTCAGCGGTCAAGAGCATAAAATCAATCAATTTACTGGATGGGTCCTGTTGTTACAAGTAGTTGGCAGAAAGAAAATTTAAATCCCAAATGGATATGACCCAAAGCTACCCTCCCCCCTCCAAAAGGATCTCATGCAGCCCAGAATGACCTATGTAGCAGACTCTAGCCTTAAACTATTGATCCTCTTGCCTCCCCCTCCCAAGTGCAGGCCTTACAGGCCAGTGCCACCACCCCTGGCTGAAGACTATTGTGTGCACATGTCTGCTGGATTAAAGGCGTGTGCCACCACCATCTCGCTTTTTTTTTTTTGTTTGTTTGTTTTTTAAGAAAGTGTCTTATACCAGGCGGTGGTGGCACACTCCTTTAGCCTTTAATTCCAGTACTTGAGAGGCAGAGGCAGGTGGATCTCTGTGAGTTCGAGGCCAGCCTGGTCTACAAAATGAGATCCAGGACAGCCAGAGCTATTATTCAGAGAAACCTTGTGGGGGGGAGCAGGGCGGGGCGGGGGGGGGGCGGAGTAAGTATCTGACTACGAAGGCCTGGCTGTCCTGTAACTCACTATGTAGACTAGGCTGGCATGGAGCTCACAGAGACCCGCCTGCCTCTGCCTCTACGGTGCTGGGTGAGACCAGCGTCACCACCCTTGGCCGTCAGCCAGACCGTATAAGCGGGGCCTGAGTAGCAGGTCTCAGGAACTCAGGTCTTCATGCTCACAGGCAAACATTTATTAAGCCATGGCCCCGGTTGCAGGTCATTTCTTACCCACCCCCTTCTCCATACCTAGTTATATCTGGCAACAGGAGATACTGAAAACACATTTGGTAACAGAATGGGCAGATGGGTTTCTCCACAGCTTTCTAATCCTTCATCTTCAAACGGGGCCTCAAAGAGGTAGTGAGACCCACTGCACACAGTATACAGTCATGTTTTTGTCTTGTTTGAAAGGCAAAACTGGATTTGCTGAATTGCAGCAAATGCAGTGTGTGCATCTGGACCTGTGAGTGACGCTTGTGTGCGGCTGCCTTTATTTCCTGGAGACGCCATGCGAAGGCTGCATAATTACATAAGCCGTCATGATAAACTCCAGTCAGAGGCCTGGGGCCAAGCGTCCCCGGGGGCGTGCCCTCTGGGAAAGTGTCTTTTTTTTGAAGAAGTCCTTTCAGCGCTCAGGAACAAGATCGGGCTCTATGGTGCCCTTTGCCCTCTGACCTTGCCCCGTTCTCTGTCCCCCGAGGCGACTTCTGGCTCCCCCATCAGCACAGGGGTGGGGCTGCTGGTCACAGCAGTGCATCCCAAGCTCGAGACCCCTCCCACGCAGCGTGGGGACAGAGAGAC